GCCTGCATAGTATTCCATGATGTATATATACCACATTTTCTTTATCCAGTCTATCATTGATGAGCATTTAGGTTGATTCCATGTCTTCACTATTGTGAATAAGTGCTGCAGTGAACACACACATGCATGTATCTTTATAATAGAATGATTTATATGCCTTTGGGTATATACCTAGTAATGGGATGGCTGGGTCAAATGATATTTCTGCCTTTAGGTCTTTGAGGAATCACCACACTATAGCTAATTTATGCTTCTACCAACAGTGTAAAAGCATTCCTTTTTCTCTGCAACTTTGTCAGCATCTGTTGCTTTTTGACTTTTTAGTAATAGCCATTCTGACTGGCCTGAGATGGTATCTCATTGTGGTTTTGATTTGCATTTCTCTAATTATCAGTGATGTTGAGCCCTTTTTTCTTATGTTTGTTGGCTGCTTGTATGTCTTCTTTTGAGAAGTGTCCACTCCTTTCCTATACCCACTTTTTAATGGGGTTATTTGTTTATCTTTGATAAATTTGTTTAAGTTCCTTGTACATTATGGATATTAGACATCTAACAGATGTCTATTACGTGGACAGCTCCACCTTTGTCAGATAGATAGATCGCAAAAATTTTCTCTCATTCTATAGGTTGTCTGTTCACTCTGATGATAGTTTCTTTTGCTATGCAGCTCTTTAGTTTAATTAGATCACATTTGTCAATTTTTGGTTTTGTTGCAATTACGTTTGACATTGTCATCATGAAATCTTTGCCCATGCCTATGTCCTGAATACTACTGCCTAGATTTTCTTCTAGGGTTTTTATAATTTTGGGTTTTACATTTAAGTCTTTAATCCACCTCGAGTTAGTTTTTGTATAAAGTGTAAGGTAGGGGTCCACTTTCAATTTTCTTCATATGGCTAGCCAGTTCTCCCACCCCCATTTATTAAATTGGGACTCTGTTCCCCATTGCTTGTTTTTGTCAGGTTTGTTGAAGATCAGATGTTTATAGGTGTGTGGTCTTATTTCTGAATTTTCTATTGTCTTCCACTGGTCTCTGTGTCTGTTCTTGTTGTTTTGGTTATTGTAGGCTTGCAGCATAGTTTGAAGTTGGGTAGCATGATGGCTCCAGCTTTATTCTTTTTCTTAGAATGGTTCTTGGTTATTCATGCTCTTTTTTGGTCCCATATGAGTTTTAAAATAGTATTTTCTGATTCCGTGAAGAATATCATTGGTAGTTTAATGGGAATAGTATTGAATCTATAAACTACTTTGGGAGGTATGGCTATTTTCATGGAATTGATTCTTCCTATCTATGAGCATAGAATGTAGTTTCATTCATTTGTGTCTCCTCTGATTTATTTGAGCAGTAATTTGTAGTTTTTCTTGAGGAGGCCCTTCACTTTCCTTGTTGGTTGTATTCCTAGGCATTTTATTCTTTGTGCAGCAATAGTGAATAGTTCATTCATTCATGATTTGGCTCTCTGCTTGCCTGTTGTTGGTGTATAGGAATGCTAGAGGTTTTTGCACATTGACTTTGTATCCTGAGACTTTTCTGAAGTTGCTTATCAGCTTTAGAAGCTTTTGGGCTGAGATGATGAGGTTTTTCTAGATACAGGATTATGTCATCTGCAAACAAAGATAATTTGACTTCCTCTCTCCCTATTTAAATCCCTTTATTTCTGTCTCTTGCTGGATTGCCCTGGCCAGAACTTCCAACACTATGTTGAACAGGAGTGTTGACAGAGGGCATCCTTTTCTTGTGCTAGTTTTCAAGGGGAATGCTTTCAGCTTTCTCCTGTTCAGTATGATATTGGTTTAGATTTGCCATACATGGCTGTTATTATTTTGAGGTATGTTTCTTCAATACCTAGTTTATTGAGTTTTTAACATGAAGGGATATTGGATTTTTATCAACGGTCTTTCTTGTTTCTATTGAGATAATCATGTGGTTTTTGTCTTTAGTTCTGTTTATGTGATGAATCACATTTAATTACATTTATTGATTTGCTTATGTTTAACCAAACTTGCATCCCAGGGATGAAGCCAACTTGATTGTGGTGGGTAAGCTTTTGGAGGTGCTCTGGGTTCAGTTTGCCAACATTTTATTGAGGATTTTTACATTGACATTCATCAAGGATATTGACCTGCAGTTTTTTTTTTTTTTTTTTTTTTTTTTTTTTTTTTTTTTGTATCTTTGCCAGGTTTTGCTATCAGAATGATCCTGGCCTCTTAGAATGAGTTAGGGAAGAGTCTCTCCTTTTCAATTATTTAGACTACTTTCAGTGGAAATATTACCAGCTCTTATTTGTACCTCTGGTAGAATTCAACTGTGAATCTGTCTGGTCTTGGACTCTTTTTGGATGGTAGGTGATTAATTACTGCCTCAATTAATTTCAGAACTTGTTATTGGTCTATCAGGGATTCAGTTTCTTCCTGGTTCAGTCTTGGGAGGGTGTATGTGTACAGGGATTTATTCATTTCTTCTAGATTTTCTAGTTTATGTGCATAGAGGTGTTTATAGTTTTCCCTGATGGTTGTTTGTATTTCTGTGGGGTCAGTGGTAATAACCTCCTTATCATTTCTGATTGTGTTTATTTGATTCGTCTCTCTTTTCTTCTTTATTGGTCTATCTAGTGGTCCATCTATTTTATTAAGTTTCTCAAAAAAAACAGCTCCTGGATTTGTTGATTTTTTTGAACGGTTTTTTGTGCCTGTCTCTCTCTTTCAATTCAGCTCTGATACTGGTTATTTCTCATCTTCTGCTAGCTTTGGGGTTTGTTGGCTCCTGGTTCTCTAACTCTTTCAGTTGAGATGTTCAGTTGTTAACTTGAGATCTTTCTAGCTTTTTCACATGGTAGTTTAGTATTATAAATTTCCCTCTTAACACTGCTTTATCTGTGTTTCTGAGATTCTGGTATGTTGTCTCTTTATTATCATTAGTTTCAAAGAACTTCTTGATTTTGGCCTTAATTTCATTATTTACCCAAGAGTCATTCAGAAGCAGATTGTTCAATTTCCATGTAGCTGTGTGGTTTTGAGTGAATTTCTTAATCTTGAGTTTTAATTTGATTGTGCTATGGTCTGAGAGACTGTTTGTAATGATTTCAGGTTTTTTTTTTTGCATTTGATGAGGAATATTTTACTTCCAATGATGTGATCAATTTTAGAGTAAGTGCCATGTGGTGATGAGAAGAATGCATATTTATTGTTTTTGGAAGGAGAGTTCTGTAGATGCCTATCAAGTCCACTTGATCCAGAGTTGAGTTCAAGTCCTAAATATCTTTGTTAATTTTCTGTTCCAGTGATCTAGTATTGACAGAGAGGTGCTGAAGTCTCCAATTATTCTTGTGTGGGATTCTAAGTCTTTTTGCAGATCTCTAATAATTTGCTTTATGAATCTGGGTTCTCCTATATTGGGTAGATATATATTAAGAGTAGTTAGCTCTTCTGGAATCAAACCCTTTATCATTATGTAATCCTCTTCTTGGTCTTTTTGATGTTGGTTGGTTTAAAGACTGTTTTGTCAAAAATTAGGATTGCAACCCCTGCTTTTTTCTGTTTTTCATTTGCTTGGTAAATTTTTCTCCATCTTTATTTTGAGCCTGTGTGTCTTTGGACATGAGATGGGTCTCTTGAAGACAGCATACTGATGGGGTTCTTGGCTCTTTATCAGGTTTGCCATTCCATGTCTTTTAAATGGGGAATTTAGCCCATTTTACATTTAAGGTAAGTATTGTTATGTGTGAATTTGATCCTGTCATCATGATGCTAGCTGATTATTTTACAGGCTTGTTTATGCAGTTGCTTATATTGTCATTGGTCTGGGTAATTCAATATGTTTTTGTAGTGACTGGTGATGGGTTTTCCTTTCCATATTTAGTGCTTCCTCAAGAACTCTTGCAAGGCAGGCCGAGTGGTGACAAATTCCCTCGGCATTTGCTTGCCTGAAAAGGATCTTACTTCTCCTTCACTTAATAAGCTTAGTTTGGCTGGATATAAAATTCTGTGTTGAAAATTCTTTTCTTTAAGAATGTCATGATGGGTAGTCCATTCTGAGGTAAGCCACCACCCATCTGCAAAAACAGAAACAAAAAGAAGAAAAAAATGTTGAATATTGTTTCCTAGTCTCTTCTGCTTGGAGGGTTTCCATTAAGAGGTCTATTGTTAGTCTGAGGGACTTCCCTTTTTAGATGACCTGATCTTTCTCTCTGGCTGCCTTTGACAATTTTTCCTTCATTTCAACCTTGGAGAATCTGATGATTAAGTGTGTTGGGGTTGATCTTCTTACTGAGTTTCTTACTGGGGTTCTTTGCACTTCCTGAATTTGAATGTTGGCCTGTCTTGCTAGTTTTGGGGAAGTTCTCCTGGACAATATCCTGAAGTATGTTTTCCAATGTGATTCCATTCTCTCCCTCTCTTTCAGGTACTCCAATCAGTTTTAAGTCTGGTCTGTTTACATAATCCCATATTTCTTGGATTTTTTAAAAAAATTCTTTTCATTCCTTTTTCTCTATTCTTGTCTGCCTGTCTTATTTCAAAAAATAGTCTTCAAGCTCAGAGATTCTTTCCTCAGCTTGCTCTATTCTGCTGTTGATACTTGTGTTTGCATTGTGAAGTTCTCATGTTGCGTTTTTTAGCTCCATCAGGTTTTTCATGTTCCTCTCTAAACTGGTAGTTCCGGCTTTCAGCTCCTGTATTGTTTTATCACGATTCTTGGTTTCTTTGCATTGGGTTACAATATGCTTCTTTAGCTCAGCGAGGTTTGTTATGACCCATCTTCTGAAGCCTACTACTTTTGTCAGCTCAGTCATCTCAGTCTCAGCCAAGTTCTGTGCTCTTGCTGGAGAGGTGTTCTGGTCATTTGAAGGAGAAAAGACACTTTGGCTTTTTGAGTTTTCAGCATTTTTGCATTGATTCTTTCTCATCTTTATGGGCTGTTGACCTTTGAATGGGGTTTCTATGGGGTCTTTTTTGTTGATGTTGATGATGTTGCTGTTTTCTGTTTGTTTTTCTTTTAACAGGCCACTTTCCCATAGGGCTGCTACAATTTGCTGGGGATCTGTTCCAATTGTAGTTGCCTTGGTTTTTCCCATTCCCAGAGGTACCGCCAGTGAAGGCTGCAAGACAGCAATTATGGCAGCCTGCTCCTTCCTCTGGAAGCTCTGTCCCTGGGTGGCACTGACCTTATGCCAGCCGGAACATGCATGTAGGATGTGGCTGGAGACTCCTGCTGGGAAGTCTCACCTAGTCAGCAGGTATGAGATCAGGGACCTACCCAAAGAAGCCATCTGGCTGCCCTTTGATAGAGCAAGTGCACTGCATTGAAGGGACACTTCTTCCTCCTATTTGTATTCTCCAAAGCAGCAGTCTATAATGGCTGAGTCTACCAACACATCCATAGGCTGAGTCTCTCTCCTTGTCCCAGGGAGAGAGATAAGAGCCTTGTCTATAGAACCCTTGCTGGAGTGGCTGAGCCCCCACAGGGAGGTCTCACCCAGTGAGGAGGAATGGATTGGCATCCTGCTTAAAGAAGCAGTCTGGCCACAATCTGTCAAGGCAACTGTGCTCTGCTGTGGGGGACCCTTTGTCGTCCAGACCACCTGTATTCTTCAAAGCCGGCAGGCTGAAATAATTAAGCCTACCAATCCACAGAGTTGGCAGTTCCCCTGGGGAACTCGATCCCAACTCCAACAGACTTCAGCCTGCTGCCATAGGCCAACTGGAATTCTAAGCCAGCAGGTCTCAACCTACCAGCCACTGTGGAAATGGGGCCCACAGAATGATGCCATTTGGCTCCCTGAACTCAGCGACATGCATGGATGGATCTCTTGCCTTGCCACAGAATTCCAGGGCAGGAATATGCAAAATTTTGTGGTCTCTGTGTATGCCTGGGTGGCCGCTCTGCTGACTCGGCATAACTCCATGTATCGGACCCAAGGCCCTGGTGGAATGGCTCACAAAGGGATCTCCTAATCTGCAAGTTGTAAAGATCTATGGGAGAAGTGTGGTTTCCTGGGTGGGGGTCCCATAATCACTCTGGGAATGAGGGTTCCCTTGGTTCCATCCCACACCTGGGTGGGCCACTGCCCAATGCTGCTTCCCTTTGCTCTCCTTGGGTCACGCTGTTTGCCTCGTCAGTCCCAGTGCAAGAACCCAGATACCTCAGTTGAAAGTGTTGAATTCACTTGATCCTTTCATTCCTCTATGTGAGTGCTGTGGACCACAGTTGCTTCCAATCAGCTGTCTTGGCTTCTGCTCTGCTGCTTATTTATTTGTTTCTTCATTGAATCTGCTTTGGTTGTGAGACCAGGGACTATATCCATCTTGTTCACCTCGATATTCCCAGGGTCTAGCATCATGCTTGGATTATAAAATAATAACCAGCTCTTAAATTATGTTTGCCCCTTGTGTGACACTAGTCTCTGTACCCTACAGATGATAACACATTTAATCATCATATTATTGCTATGAGATAGGCACAATTCAAACCTGCATTTACAGGAGAGGAAAACTAGGCACTGAGTTAGGTCATCAAGGACTTTGCCTAAGCCAGTAAGTGGCAATGTCAAACTTCAGCAGCCATCAGAATCACCTTGGGGCCTTGATAAAACAGAGGTGGCTGGCACCTTGGCATTTCTATTTTAGTAGATCTACGGTGAGTTCCAAGAATTATCATTTCTGGCTGGGTGCGGTGTCTTACGCCTGTAATCCCAACACTTTGGGAGGCCGAGAGGTGGGTGGATCATGAGCTCAGGAGATTGAGACCATCCTGGCTAACATGGTGAAACCCTGTCTCTACTAAAAATACAAAAATTAGCTGGGCATGGTGGCACGCGTCTGTAGTCCCAGCTACTCAGGAGGCTGAGGCAGGAGAATCACTTGAATCCAGGAGGCAGAAGTTGCAGTGAGCCAAGATCATGCCACTGCACTCCAGACTGGGCATCAGAGCGAGTCTCCATCTCAAAAAAAAAAAAAAATTTCATTTCTAACTAGTTCCCAAAAGATACTGATGCTGCTGATCTAAGGACTGCCCTTTGAGAACCAATGCAATAGATTTCACAGAGTATTTTCTCACATTAGCTATATTAATACTCACATCCCCATGATCAATTATTGTGCCCATTTTATAGATGGAGGAAACTGAAGCTCTGAGAAGTTAATTAGCTTTCCCTCCAGAGTGGGAATGTATAGAAAAGCTGCTTGGACCCGTCTTCTGGCTCTAAATCAAGTTCTCTCAGCACTGCCCTAAGAGGTCTTTATATGGTACTGAATTTTTCAGAATGCTGCTCCAGTAGATAAATTGTGAAGTCTTTGTTAATTTGGTAGATAAATGAAGGAAACTTCTGGGAACAAACGATCTTACATCTTCTATCCTGTTTCCACTTAATTAATTTGAGTGACAGAGATGGTTTCTAGACAAGCTGACATGATTGAAATTTATTTATATTATAATTTAGACATGCCATAAATGTAATCCAAAACTTTCCCCTGTGTTTAATACTATTTTAGTCATATGGTGGCATTGCAGGTGAGGTTTATCTAGCTCATACTACTATTAAAGAACCTTCCTTGCAAAACACAAGGAGAAATTCAGGAGTATTTATTGAAAATTTACAGTATCTTAATATCTTAATAATTTTCAAATTAACAAAACACTTGTTCTAAAGGTGTTTTTAAAAAGACATCTAATAAATGATAAAATTTTCACTAAAATTTCTGAAGTATTTGAATTTTTTTTTTCTTAGCTGACAATTCTAGACACCAGAGACTTAAAGCTACAAAACTTTGTTTTCCTTAGGTTCTTTCAGGCATTAACATTCTGATGCCAAAGACTAATTAGAAGAGAAAGTGGCACACCCTGAATCTATTTTAGTGATGAAGATAGGAGTGGGAAATGGTAAAAAACCTACCTTGTTCTCACTACTACCATGCTAAAACTGTCATCAATTAGAATCACTCACTGTATTCCTAACATGAGACTGTTGGTAACTTCTCTTCAACACAAACTCAAGTGTCCCTTAATTCAGTTTGTACCTGAAATATATATGGAAATATATTGATAGTGCTTACACTGATAGCATTTTCTTCACTTACAAAAGCATGTGTTGAAAAGAAGTGATGTCAGTACATAATAGAAAAGTTTCTGTAAGATGGTTATTTCTGTTTTATTACCCATCATCTTATGGCAAAGTAGAAAATGTTCCGAGCATTTACCTTGACCCACATTTTATGGTCATATTTATCTGTGCAGCATGTTTTTTTCTTTGCCCAGTGTGCAGAAACATCAGTACTCTTCCTTCTACTTTTACCCATGGCCTTATGTTCACTTTTGTTCAGTTTGACTTATTTGTTTCTGTTTTAGTTGACTAGCTTTTCTTCCCTCTTTTTCTTCTCCCTCTCTTTTTCTTTTTTCAACAAATAACTTTTGGGTCCATGATATTCTAGATTCAGAAAGTAAGACCCTTAGAGTCGTGCTAGAGAAGAAAACATGAATGTATTAAAAAGTTCCGTGGTTCAAGATGATACATTATATGATGAAGAAGCAAGAAAAAAGTCCACAGAAGGTACAATAAACATTTGATTGGGGCAGAGATCCCTGTGGAATTGAGGTTTTTAGGATGGCTCCACAAAAATCATTTCAGGTATTTATTGCTGCGTACTGACCACCCCAAAATATAGTAACTTAAAACTGTAACTACTTGCTATTTGTCTTAATCCTGCCATCTGGGTTGAGCTCAGCTGTCTTCTGCTTCACTGGTTGTTTGCTGGTGTTGGAAGGGCCATGATGACTTCTTCACTAGTATATCTGGCACCTCCTCTAAATGGCTGGAACAGGTGGCAGCTGACTGGGCTTCTCTCTCTCCAAAAATCTCCTCAGGTGAGTAGCATGACCTCTGCATGGTAGTCCAAGTTTCCATGAGAGAGCATTTCAAGAGGGCATAAGCCACAATGTGCAAGTACTTATTAGTACTTCACTTGCTCATGTCCCATTGGCCAAAGCAAGTCAGTGTGGGAGGTATGAATACTGGGGGCCAGGGCTCATGGGGCACATCAATCCAAAGGAAACATTTTGCGGGCCTGACCACATGTGGGGTATGAGAAAAGAAGTCACATATGGAGAATTTTCAGCTTGAGTGACTAGAAAACTTGTGGGATTATTGGTTAGGAGAGTAAAAGTTACATGTGGGAGCTAATTTTAGATGTTAAGTTTGAGACAATGAAAAGGTCTACTAAGGAGAGAAAATGTATCGCAACATGCATGTGAGCTGAGGACTGAAGTACTGAACTTTGGAGTCGCATGTAGAAAATAAATAGTTAAAGCCATGTGACTGAGTATGTTCTGAGAAAGACAGAGATTCTACCAACAAACTTTGATCTGTGTTTACAGTTAGAAGTTGGGAGGAGGCAGAGAGCCCGATTAGGAGACAAAGATACCAACATTCCTCTCATATTTTGTGACACTGTTAGAATTTCTATATTTCCAGTTAAATTTGGTTCTGATTTATCTGTGGGTAGAAAATAATTGAGAAATAATTTAGTTTTATTTTAGCAACTTTTACTGTGGAACCTTTTTAGTGCCTTGAGTTACTGACTTTTAAATGTTTATTTACAAATAATAGCTAATATCTTTGAGACTTTCTCATGGTTCTCAAAGGGTAGAATCATAGTATGAAAACTAAAGTTAATGATATTGCTTGGCAGAATTAAGTTTTACTTCGTTTATTAATCTTTCTACATGCTGTCCTGCTTCTGGAAACATCAATGAAATTGTACAAAAGCTTGGTTTCAATTGTGAGTCCATTTTCTTCTTATTAAATGGACTTAATGTTAAGGCTGGATCAACCCAAGCACAGAAAATTAAAAGTTGAGTGAATAAATATTTTCTTGGTATCAACTAACAAAGTCAAGTCAATTTTGAAAGGTAATTCATAGTTTTCTATGAACCCATTGCACACATGAATGAGAACTGCTGATTGAGGAACTGCTTTCACAAATTCTTTTGGGAAGTGTCAGGAAGTTTTGTATTTGAAAACTTATGTGAGCACTGTCTTGTTTCACTGAGCTACTCATGTAGGCCTTACATAGGTCTTCTAGTTACGTGACCCACCCAATTCAGTGTGACACTCAGATACAAACAACTGTGGGCAGGCCATGAAGACCTCTCACACTCCACACAGAGAGGATAGAATAAACCACAGAAACCATTTGGAATATATTATTTTTACTGAATTCTTTGCCTTTAGAGAAATATGTG